ACTCAAAAAGACAAAAAACAGTAACAACGAATTTAAAAAAATCTACAGACTAAAAAATATATTCACAAAAATATATTTTCACGTAGAAAAATATAATAGTTATTTGTGTTATATTTAAGATGACCAACCGTCTTGACTTAGCCAGGCCATGTTTAGGTTTTTATTGTTTTGTCCTGATTTACGTTTATATCCTGCATTATCTAGATTTAAGACTAAGTGTACCGTTTTTGAAATTGTTATTTGCAGCGAACACAACGCGTTTTTTAAGTTAAAATTACATTAAATGTCGTCATTTCAAATGTGGTAAATACATCATTGTATTTGGTCTCCCAAAAAAATCAACTGAAAGTAGAAACATTAAAAAATCTCTTATAATGACCAAATTAAATATTAATTTGGCTTGCATATATTAAAAAAAGTGTTTGCAGAAAATGAAGAAACTATCAAAATAATTCACACAGAAAAAAATTGAAATCCATACAAAATCCATACAAAACAAACCATAAGTTAACTATTAAATTAGGGTCTAAAATTGTTTTTTGTTATTCATGTGAATATTTTGAATTGTACATATATTTTTATTATATTTTTATATTTAGGTATATTATTATTATGTAGAAATACGGGCCTTGACGGCAAATAAGCAATTTACTCCTTTTAAAAACACGCCAAATTTATAAAAAAATACGCGGAATTTATAAAAGGAACATTAAACTATCTTTTAGCATCATTATTAGAGTATCGTTTTTGTCTAGTATGATACGCAAAAGCATTTCCTACTGAATTTAGAACAAACGCAAAGTAGAAAAAATGTATTTTTGTAGAAAAATATTTAAAAAGTGTATATACAGGCTGTTTCGTTTTTATTGTTACAAATTTAAACAGGTCAAGAATATTCAATTTTAAGATAAAAGTTTCCTATAAACATGTATCAAAAAATGTTACGTAAGCGAGCTACAGCCTCTGAAAGAGATGCGGTTTTTAATGGGCTTTTTCCACTATTGCAGAATAGATAAAATTACAAAAGTTGGTACAGCTGATAACCTTTAAACACCTGAACGAATTCAAAGATCAGTTGTTAAAATTTTTAATCACGGGCGTCTTAAACGGTAAGACGAATCTAATTTATAATTTTTATCCTCTTTATGGTCCGTAACACATATTGTAAACTGATTTTATTCAAAAATGGTAAGTTGTATCGAAAAAACGCAAGAGACATATTTGTGTGAAAAACTATGAATTTTAGAATTGTGTGCCCCCCCTCAGTTTAGGACGCCCCTGAGTAAAATTTATCTTTGAATTCGTTTGGGTGTATAAAGGTTTCAGTTGTACCAAATTTTGTAATTTTATCTACATTGTTTGCTGAAATATTGGAAAAAATCTATTAAAAGATGTCCCCTTTTAGGAGATGTAACTCCTTTATTTAATATTTTGCGATACATGTTCATAGGAAACTTTTATCTTAAAATTGAATATTCTATCACCTGTTTCAATTTGTAACAATAAGAACGGAACATCCTGTATAATATGTTAATAGTTTAGTTTTTAAAAGATATTTACTTTTTTAATTGTTAATTGCAACTAGAAATTAAAAAAATTACCTAATTGTTTGTGATCCCGTATGGCTTGACAAGATTTGATTTGAGTAAATTTGCTTTTGACGTCCTTTATCAAATGCTTGTCAGACCAACACACATACATCAGTATGTTTTAGATAAACTCACACATGATCGATCACGAATGATCGAGATTGTAATGAAACAGGAGTTCACATTTTTCAAAATATTATTTATAAAATCAAATTTTGGAAAGATTTCTAAACACATCTATTGATTTATTATATTTTAATTTGTCAAATAATTTTGTAACTATAAGTATCTAAAAGGTGAAACCCTCGCACGTGTGTTGTTGCCATTTATCTATAAAAGAAAACAGTAGTAAAAATAAACAGCAATTATTGGTCTATTTTTATAAAGGTGAAACAATTTACTAAAAAAAGTTGTTTTGAAGAGTTGGTATTTTTAGAGCAAGCCAAACTTGAAAATTACATTTATTAGCAACCTTCTATGCGACTCATGAGACTCATTTATTAAAAAGTTAAACCAATCTTATTCCAAAATTTGAGTAATTTTTATTATTTACAATTCCAAGCTACTTGAAAACATTTTTCTTTGTAACACAAATTACTTATTACTTCTATGCAACATGTTAAACCAAAAAATTATTAACCGTCTTATAGGATTACTCAACTTGCCCTACTTATAGTACAAATCCCTGTAGTAGTTTTCAGTACGTATAATAATTAATCTGAATACAATAATTTTAATTTGCAAAAAGTATAAGGTTGCAAATTATTAAGTCTTACTGTTTATAAAATTTAAAACTTTAGTAAAGTGCAAATGCAATATTTCAGGCAAAAAAATGGAGTATAAAGTGCAAAAAACTTATCTTTTTTGCATTCTTAAGTTGCACATCCTCGTATAATATTCTCATAAATCCACGATTTTCAGCGAGTAGAAATACTCATTACCCATTTAACATCGCCCAAAACTGCTACGATTAATTTAAAGTTTAGAAGAGGCTTTCTACTGTTGCAAAGAGTTAAAGACTTGAAAAATAATCTTTTAAATATTAATGCATTATAGAGGAAGGGATTGAAAATTAACGAATTAATATGATGCTTAGGGAAGAAGACGCTAAACGTTAAGGACGTTCCCTAATTACACTCTAATGGAGCTAAATTAATATTAGCGACTGCTCGTCATCCACGTCAACCCGAATATCGGTGACAGAAAGGAAAATTAATATATGCCACCACTATACCTACTTATGATAATGAAGATAAATTTTTGCGATGTTTTAAATAAGTGTTTGAACGTTTAAGACACGAATTTTATTGTGGTAATGCATTTCAGTGTCTTATACAAAATATTTGGGAATGGAACACAAACAAGAAATACAAGTTCTGCTGAATAAATGACAAAATTATGTAAAAGAATATACTCGATGAATAGTCATGGTACTGCTCCGGCAAAGTAGAAAATTTAGAACTCATGACAAACTGTTTGTCTTTCTCGCCCGTAGGTTTGCTTTATTTTAATTAAATGCTTTTGTAGCTACCGAGGATGTGCCTCAACTCTAAACTAAATAAGTTATTACCAATATTAAAAAAAATAAACGTTTGTTGCAATATTAAAAAAATTGACAGTATATAATGACAAACAATCATCGTTTTAGCCGTTAATTAGTTACCAGTCCTTACTTCAGCTGGGTTTATTTAAAAAATGAAGTATAGAAAGCGCTCAAAAAATGGCACACCAACTCAGTGATACGTAGTTGAGAAGCATATCCAAATTACAATTAAAGTCTTAAAAACAAGCTCGGGGCATATTTTACAAAATCTAATGTTGCAAACTTATTTTTTTAAGTTTTTCAATTCACATGATTATTTTCTTAAATTTTCATATTTTACTTTAAGTAATCGTTTCACATTTGTTTTTGCATCAAATTTCAGCATCTAACAGTACTTAATTTTTTTTATCCACAATCACTCTATAAAGAGACTTTATTCCACACTTTAGATGCGTATAAAGTACCACTTTATCCACTAGTGAAATAAAGTAACTTTAACCAGCGCACCGCGTAACAGCTTACAACGTTTAACCGAAAGCACATTTGGCGTGACGTTTAAATGTCAGTTTAATTTTTAATTAAGTTTGGAATAATTTGGGCCTGTGATTGTGGATAAAACGTTATATTGCAGTCGTGTGTTAGTCGCGTTTTATCCACTTAAGAAAATTAACCGCTCGAACTGACGTTCTCACGGTTAAACATTCTTGCGTGGATAAAACGCTACCTAATACACTCTTACAATAAACAACTATTATTATTTTTTTAGAACAATATTACCGTTTGCAAATTTTACAATATTATTGTCATCATGTTAACAATGTTTATATTCTCGAGGGAACTGTTACTAAGGTTTTAAGAATAATTAATTTTTTTGTATACGCTCTCTAAAATGAGTCTTTTCCAGACTAAAATAGTACGTGAAATGGTTATTTACTTAGCCCCCAAAACCAGTTTATCTGGACAAAAAAGTCATTTTAGTTACTATTATGGCAAAAAATTTTTAATTAATAAGAGGTGTCAATACTTGTAACAAAAATAACTATTGATGAATTAATCGATTGCAATGCTATTAGACAACGTTACCACAAACAATTTTTTTAAATACAATTTTTTAATTATTTGTACATAATTCTATTTGTACTCTACCTCCTCCATATTGAGTTGAGGTGTCATTGTTTGAGCGCCCTGTATGTCAAGTGGGTACAATTTAGAAAGAAAACTTAGATGCTTAGAACTTAAACACAAATTATATCAAGTTTTTATCATCTTTACTTGAAACAAAATGAATCAAATTATCAGGGTTGTTACGAGTATATCAATTTTTTTAAAACGATTTTGAAGAATATTTAACAACTCATTTGAAATATTTGCTGAAACCTCGTTTAACTGAAGTAAAGTAGATACTAGTAAAATGTGTAAAATGTTTCTAATAAAGCAGTCCAAATTTTCATTTTAATTAAACCATTGGTGTTGTTTAGTTTTTTATTAACTATTATCTTAATACAAGTTATTTAAAAAAAAATAGATGAGAAGATTATTTAAACAGTTAATGCTTTGGGGTTTAAAGAAAGAGAGACGACATTATCTGGTCAGTAAATGACCGTAAAATGGAAACTGGTTGAATTAGATTAAATTCGCTGTGATAGAGGTAAAAGTAAGGGTTTTAGTGATTGTTGTGATAAGAGAGGAGTGTGTCCGTGTTGGTCAGAATGATGAGATGAGAGTGGTGCGCGAGCGTAAAGCCGATATTACGCAGCAGCAGCGCAATCTATGTGGATGGAAAAGTCGTAAGACGTCGTCGTTGTTGTTGTTGTTGTTGTTGTTATTATAGTTTTTTATTTAAAATAGATAGAATGGTTGGTTTGTACCTTGCATCGGTGGCAGCGGTGCGCGATGGAATAGGTCTGTCCGCAGTCGTATCTGGTGAGGACCTGTGCGTGTCCGCAGGCGATGCGGCTGGCGAGATCGTCCGCCTTGATGAGGGTGTCGAGCATGTCTCGGCATGCCTTTCCGCCGTTGAAGGCGTCTTCGGGCAGGGCCTGGTCGACCGCGTGCTCGCAGCAGTGGCGCATCCGGAGTCCGTGCAGCACGTCACGCCTGCGCTCGGGGCCCAAGTCGGGGCCGCACACCTCCTCTTTGTGCGATTCTTGCAAGTAATAAAGGCACTGAGTAGACTTAGTACTGTTGGCGGGGCAGGGCGGCGGACAGAGGGGCCCAAGGTCCGTTCCG